CCTGCTGCTCGCCTTGGAGCGTATGCCGACTGCCTCCCGGCGATCCTATCTAGCCTCCTCCCCAGGGTTCCGGATCACCATCTCGGCTTGATCCGCGGTTGCGCATCCTTCGCATGTCTTGATCGATAATTGATAGGACTCCGAGCGTGGCCGTTCCCCCTCGATCTTGGTCCGTCGGTCAGGATCGGCTCTCGACAGTGACTTCGTCCCACAAATCGCCTTGACCTGGCCTTCGCGCGATATAATGCGGGTGGGTCGCCATCCATCATCCTGTCGGGTTGATCTTGGGTCATCTGCAGTCGATCTTGGGTCATCTGTAGTCCCCATCACTCACCGGTCTTGTCGCACGCCAGATCTTGGGAAATCGTCTTGATGTCTTGGCCCAGAGTGGGATTTCTGCCGCCTGGTCCGTCTCTTTCTCGCGATCTGGCAGCCGAGGTTGCTCTTCTCGTGAGATTTCGATCGCACTTTACCACATGCCCAACGTTTGAGGCGAAGTCTTCGGTCGTCGACGATCGCTGACACGGCCGCCTCTGATAACGCCGCGACTCAATCTGGTGGGGGCGCGTCTTCGGCGACGGCCCCAGTCTCGGGCCACGTTATCGTCCGGTATCTTCTGGGTCTGAGAGCGACAGCTCTGCAGCCCGCCCGCCTCCTCGTCAGAGGTGTCGCATCACACCTCCGTTTGTCGGACCCCCCGTCTCCGGATTCCCATCACGCCAGGACGCGTAGTAGTGTCAGGATTTCTTTCTCCGCGATGCTGTAGCTCAACACGTTGTGCTTCAACGTCCGACTAGTGAACTTGATCGGCAGGTATACCCCGTCGTGGTCTTGGGCCAGGACGGCCGACACTGCCCGGTCACTCGCGTACACGATCACCACCGGCTGTTTATCGGTGTCGAAATATTTCAACATGGGTGTAGTCGCGATCTTGCTACGGAGCGTGTCAAAATGCCCGTTACGCGTGAGTCCACTTATCTAGATCGCGCGTCTCAGGATTCGAGACCCGCTCTTCAAAATCGCGGGCGGAGAGGGAGTAGAGCGCGGCCGCGTAAATCGCGAAATCCAGAATGAAACGATGGTAGTAGTTAAGGCTACCCAAGAACGACTGTAGACCCTTTTGCGTACGCGGGAATTCCAACGTCGCAAGGGTCTCTAAGTTCTTCGGTTTCGCCCCGAGTCCGTCTTCCGATACTTCATGGCCCAGGTAACCCACTTTCGACATTCCCCATTCACTTTTCTCCACGCTGATCGATAAATGCCATTCTTCACTGACTTCCAAGAGACGTTCCACCTTTTGCAAAGGTCGTCCCACGTCGTACACCCGATCAGGATATCATCAATGTACGACTGACGGCTCAAAACGGACCTCGTTCCAGGTTTAGACGGGATCCCGTCTTTGAAAACATCGCGGGTATTCTCCGTCTGGGACAGCTTCCAAAACCGTGCAACGCGTTGTCTATCAACCGCTGGTATATCTGCAGTGCATTGCACAGACCGAATGGCAAGCGTAGCCACTCCCGAACAGTCCGAACGGCGTGACGAAAGCGGAGAAGAGACGGGCTCGGTCCGTCATGGGCACTACCCGAAACCCGCTGATCATGGACTTGTTTACACATTTTGCACCGTTTGTAGCAGTAGAGTACCGAGTGAGTCAGACCTCCGCATGCTGCGCAAGGCCCATACTGCTGCCCTACGTTGCGGTTGTCGCGAGCGAAGCCTCGGTCATTGTTGAAATGACCATCACCCTTGTGGCGTCGGTTGTCTGGCCGGGCGAATGGCCCTTCTGCCGCCGCACGGCGTTCGTGGTCGTTCGCCGCTGCGACGTGACCGCGCTCATCTTCACTGGCGTAGTCGTACTCGGAACCCCTGTTAGAGTATCGATCTCCGTCGTCTCGGCGCTCTCCGTCACCGAACGAGTCCTCGTTCCAATCGCATTCTTGGTCATACGGCGCTTGCTGACTCGTCTGTGATCCGACCGAGGTCTCGTTCAAGGCGGTTACTAAATCAGATAGCGCTTCTGCCAAGGTAATCATTGGCCTGTATGGCGACTCGTCTCTATGGCGATCATCCCGACGGTAGTTGCTCCGTGAGTCTTCGTTCCGTCCGCTATCGCGTCGACGGCCACCATCTTGACCACTGACTTGATGAACGCGTCGCTCAAGAGTTTCCACGTGCGGCGGGTCTTGCGCGGTAATTGCCGGTACCAGTGCAAGGCTCTGTCCTGTAAACTTAACTCGAATGCCATGCACCAGTCGTTAGGTGGGGTGTGGGTTCCTTTCATTTCGTATATGAAAGTACGTAGCCATTGCATGGACTTTTCGCTCTTGTTTCAGTAGCCTGAGAATGCCTTGATGTTAACCAGCGGCAAGTGAGTCGTAATATCGATCCTGAGCGTCGAGTTCTTCTCTTCCTTCGCGCTCAGTTCGCGAATTTGTCGTGCCCACTCCTCGGTCAGGTCTTCTTCTAGGTGGTCAACGTCCAAAAGGTCTTTTTCATCATCAGACGAGTCCTCGTTCAGGTCGTAGCGACGGTCTGGCTGTTGAGCCGGACCCTTGTAAGTGTTAGGAGTCGGTCGCGAGACCTCGTTCTCCTTTACCACTCGGTCCTGGCTACTCACAGACCTCGGGGTCACCATGTGCGAGTCGTCCATGTACGGGGATCCCTTGGATCCGAACACACCCGTCGAAGACTCGTTCTGACCGGGGTTTGAGGTAGTGGGACTTGCGAAGGGTCAGCAGGCATGAAAGCTTGACGGGCTACCACCTGGCGACCTGGAGCAATCTCCTCCACCCCGAACGCTG